CCTCCCTCCCTCCCTCCTTCCCTCCCTCCCTTCCTTCCTTCCTTCCTGTGTGTGTGTTATGTTGTGGGTATCTAGAGGTTGCAGTATACCTTCCACACTTCTTGTTTGAGACAGAGTCTCTTGCTTATTATTGTACATGCCATACAGCAGGCCCAGAAAGCTTCTAAGTGTTCCTCTGCCTCTGCCTATTAACTCACAGAGTCCCCTGGAATTGCATGTACATATTAACTTCCATGATTCACATGATTTCTAGGGTGAAGATCTGAATACTGGTTCTCAACCTGTATGACAAGTATTTTATCCATTGAGTCATCCTCTTAGCTTGATCATACCGAATTTGATAGTGTTTAGCAATGCTGTCATATTTGCCTTGTACCCAGGAACATGCAGTCTGCCTCAACCTGTCCATCAGTGGCTGAAGAAAAGAGGGAAAGGCAAAGATGAGACTGAGATTTAGAATACAACTGTGGTGATGTGAATGAGAACAGCCCCATAGGCTCATATGTTTGAATGCTTAGAATTATTTGTAGAATTATAAATAATTTGGAAAGGATTAGAAGGTGTAGGCTTGTTGAAAGAACTATGTCACTGGGGGTGAGGCTTATGCCAGGTTCACTGGCTGCCTGCTGCCTGCTGATCATGCACATCTATTTCCTATCATGATGACCATGAGCTAACCCCTTAAAACTGTTAGCAAGCCTGTAACTGAATGCTTTCTTTTATGAGAGTTGCCTTGGTCATAGTGTCTCTTCACAGCAACAGAATAGTAACTAAGACAACAAGGGAAGATAAATTCAGTGCTGTCAGCCAGAGTCTATGACAACCTATGTAACGGAGTACAGATGGACCATACCACAGAGGTGTTTGCTCTAAGCTTAGGCCTTGCGTTATTGAGGTGAAACATCCCCATAGGGACCAATGGGATATGTCAAAGAGGAGCTATGGGGCAGTGAATAAAATTGTGACCATTCTTCTGAAGGATTTGACCAAAGCAGTGTACTCATCCTTGCTGGATGACCTGAAACTTGGGAAAGAAAAGCAAATTGGTAGTGAGAGGTAGCCAGGATCTGCAGCTCAGGAGCATAGGAGCCTGGGAGAGCAAAGGTAGAAGTGAGGCTGACTAAATAATAAAATAAGGCAGAAATGCAGGGCCTGCTGAGGTCATGGTATACTAAAGATCCAATTTGTATAGGAAAGAGGAAAGTAAGGTCTTGAAAGCATCAGTTTAATGTGCCTTAGAGAACAGAAAGTAAGCCTGTACCATGTTAGGAACAGGCTCAAGAAGTATAGTCTAGGAATGACTACCTCTCTGGAAATACCTCATCTTGGGAGGGGGACAGTGAAACAAATAAAAGTAAATTTTTATTTATTTTTCTGTTTTTTTAAAAGAATTTTGTATATGATTCCCACCCAATCCCCGCCCCATGTCATCTCCTCCAAAATTCATGGTGTCTTTAATTATTACTGTCACTAACATCTACATATATGTATTTATATACATACAACCTACTGAGCTATCTAGCTTCTCTCTTATGTGCATGTATCTAGAGCTCACCCCTAGGAACTGCACAATCTATATGGGAACTCATCCCAGGAGAAAACTAGTTCTCCTTTTCTTAGTAGACATTGACTACCTTTATCTAGGGGTGAGGCCATGTAGAATTTCCCCCGTTCATGTTGGCTTATCAACTGCTATTATCATTGTGCTAATCTTGTTCATGTAGCCATATTGCTGGGATTTCATGGGAGTATTTTCTATTATGCCTAGGAGACACTACCTAACAACAGTTATCCTGAGCCTCTGGCTTTTGTAATCTTTTCACCCACTCTTTCACAGTTTTCTCTGAGCATTAGACATAAAGGTTT